ATAAGCATTTGACAGATAAAACCCTTTGATGCATTAGAGAGGTATTGGCCGGACAAGGTTTTCGAACACACGCTCGCACGCACGCAAACACGGATGGACAGGGGCAAACAGCTATGTTTTGCACTACAATTCAAGGCTTACAAAACAGTGTTATAATTGCACCAGGGATAAGCATTTGACAGATAAAACCCTTTGATGCATTAGAGAGGTATTGGCCGGACAAGGTTTTCGAACACACGCTCGCACGCACGCAAACACGGATGGACAGGGGCAACTCTACAGCCCCTTGCCATTGTCAAGGCGGGTATAATAAAACAATACATATTGCAGCGGTTTGTTTTCTGGTTACAGAACATAATGCTATTTAAATGGGTGTTTCAAACAAAATAAATATAGTTATATTTTACCATTGATCAGGAATAGGTTACAGAACTTGTTTACTGCCTACCAAAATTGAAATCGAGTTCCAGACCTAGATTGTGTTAAACAAGGTCAAACCTTAACTTACGTTAAATTCAAATTACCATTTAAATGTTCATTTTCTTCTTTCCGTACAAGTGAAATATCTGGTATACTATGAAATAAAAGAAACTTTCTTTCGAAAGATGCATTTGGCTCGCACCTTAGAGAATCGTTCTTCGATACTTGGTTAACTTGATATTTTTATCCTTTTATTCTTCTTTTTGATCCGTTTCGTGGAAAAAGAAAACAATTGTTTATTTAATATTTTCCTCATTTATTGAGAAATGATATAAAGTTCTCATATTTATAAGACACCAAACATCAGATAGAGTCCATTTTTACTCCATTCTCGATTTACAGCAATTTTTGCACATAGTCATAAAGCAGAATAAAACTTTACAACAGAATTGATCTAAACTTCGCATGATCTGAGAATATTTGACTTCACGGATTTATGTTTGTATTTGAACCATATGACTGAAAATTAAATATATTTTGCACGTATCATTGCCTAGATCATTTATACAAATGTTCATTACTCTTGTCTCTGAAATAAAAATAAAACCAGCAATGGAATTTAGGAAATTTTGCAAATTTTTTACTTTAAAAATCACAATTTATGCTTTGTACTGTATTTTTCTATTAAGGGAAGTATAAGGAAGATATTGTTATAATTTTTTCCCTATAAGCCTAATGTTTCAGAATTATTTTGTTTGTATTAATCATCAAGTTTCTCTTATGCTCTAGATTGTTTTATGATATTTGGCGATGCGCTCTTTTTTGTTTAATATTTGCAAAACATTTAATAGATTTTTTTAAAGTAAACAAATGCAACCTTATGAACGCACATTAAATAAATCTTGCATTTTCTCAGTGTATTAGATCGGAATAAATCATGGTTTATATCAGAATATACCCTACACATCTCTGAGTATATCTCGCACTGTCTGAAAATGTAACTTGTACTAACTCGATGTAACCGAAGACTATATCAAAATATAATCCGCAGAATCTCAAAATATATCTCTCACTTTTTGAAATGCCTCCATCGCATTTTCAGAATATATCCCTTACTATCTCAACATATCAAACACTGTCACATTATTTCAAAATGTAACCTAAATTATCACGAAAAGTAACCTACATTATTTCAAAATGTAACCTACATTATCTCAAATTTGTAGCCTACATTAACTCAAAATGTAACATATATTATCTCGAAATGTTACGTACACTATCTGGAAATGTTGCCTACATTATCTCAAACTGTAGCCTACAATATGTCAAAATGTAACCTACCTACACTTTCTCGAAGTGTTACTTACACTATCTCGAAATGTAACTTACACTATCTCAAGATGTAACCTACATTATCTCGAAATGAAAACTACACTATCCCGAAATGTAACTTACATTATCTCGAAATGTTACCTACACTGTCTCAAAATGTAACCTACACTATCTCCAAATGTTAACTACACTATCTCGGAATATAACCTTCATTATCTCGAAAGGTAACATACACTTCCTCAAAATGTAACCTACATTATCTCAAAATGTTACCTACATTATCTCGAAATTTAGCCTACAATATCTCAAAATGTAACCTACACTTTCTCGAAATGTAACCTACACTATCTCGAAATGTAACCTACACTGTCTCAAAATGTAACCTACACTATCTCGAAATGTAACCTATATTTTCTCGAAATGTAACCTACACTATCTCGAAATGTAACGTACATTATCTCAAAATGTAACCTAAACTATCTTGAAATCAAACCTACACAATCTCGAAAGGTAACCTACGTTATCTCGAAATGTAACCTACATTATCTCAAAATGTTACTTACATTATCTCAAAATGTCACCTACACTATCTCAAAATGTAGCCTATAATATCTCAAAATTTAACCTACACTATATCAGAATGTAACCTACACTATCTCAAAATGTAACCTACACTTTCTAGAAATATAACCTACACTTTCTCGAAATATAAATTACACTATCTCAAAATCTTACCTACAATATCTCGAAATGTAACTACATTATCTCGAAATGTATTCTACACTTTCTCGAAATGTAACCTACACTGTCTCAAAATGTAACCTACACTATCTCGAAATGTAACCTATATTTTCTCGAAATGTAACCTACACTATCTCGAAATGTAACCTACATTATCTCAAAAAGTTACCTACACTATCTCAAAATGTATTAACACTATCTCTAAATGTAACCTATATTTTCTCGAAATGTAACCTACATTATCCCGAAATGTTACCCACACTATCTCAAAATATATTCCGTACATTGTTGAAATGTCTACATCACATTTGCAGAATATATGCATTGCTATATCGGTATCAGTCCAGCAATATCTCGAAATGGTAATAGTTTATGTTAAATCAACACTTGAAAATATAAATGACATAAAATTATAATAATCAAATAACGTAACAAAACGTTAGTCAACGTTGTGTTAAATAAACGTTTTTTTTTTTGTTTTTTTTTAAATACGAAAGGATAATTAGATATCAATACACGGCAAAGAAGGGATACCGATAGAAGGTGATAAACGGTCCTCAAAATGAATAATTGCCCCAAGGGCTCAAGCCGCCCGACAATGTCTTTAATACACTTGATAGATCTAAAAGTAGCATTTAAAACACACTTTCATAGTCTTTTGTTGTAAGTCCTGTCTCTGTAGATTTCTACTGTATAATACTTCTACAGAGTTGCTTCCCTTGTGTGTATACAAAGAACACTAATATCAAGAAGCAAGTATAATGTTTATTTTTTCGGGGTCTTTGGTAATACAGTAATTTAAATAAAACTGTGATTGTACAAAATAGGCTTCTAATCAAGTGATTCGTGCTTAACACCTACATTCACATTTACAGGTAGTTGTTTTGATGACATAAACTTTGACGTCAGTTTTTCCGTTTGTGCACAGCAAGTTGATTATGATTAGGGGCTGCACAGTATGGTGGCTGATTTGAAACGCTTTTGAGCGTCGTGTTGGCGCAAGCCAAACGGCGAGTTGTCGGACTTTCGTTTTGTCGTCCTGTCGCTAACGATGCACGCCAAACGTCGCGTTATCGTGCGGCGTGTTGTCGCGACGCTACATTGTCGCTCGGTTCAAATCGAAGGATTGGCTTATAAGTCAAGCAACAGGGGCGACATCGCGACAACGCGCGGCATGACAACGCGCCTTTTTGCGCGTGTTTCGCTAATGACAGGACGACAGTATGACAAAGCGCTGTTTGGTACTTTGACGTGTTGTCGCTAGCGACAAGACAAAAAGGCGATAACAATATAGGTTAATTAATTTAATTTAATGAGTAACGTAATCTAACGTAAGTCAACACAACGCAACATAACACAAAAGAACACTCAACTAGACACATACAACATATATCACAATACAACACACAACATAGCATAATACATTGCAGCACAACAAACACATTAGAACATGCAAATAACAATACAACACAACAAACAATACAAGTCAACAAACAACAAAACACAAAACATTACACAACTAAACGCACCATAATATACAATGCAATATACAATACAATAAAACACAACACAACTAACAATACACAATACAACACAACATTTAATACATAAAACAACGCTTACGATAAAAAACAACACAACATAACATACAACACATATATAAACACACTTCACAACATATAATACAAGCAACATACAATGTAACACACAGCACAATACATAAAACAGCATAATAGACAACAGTGCAACACAAGACACAAAACGTGCTGATTTTAATTGATGTATTTAGTAATTGTGTAAGAAATATACGATTATCCACATTTGTCTTTGATACTTTCACTGATCCTGTATTTATTTCCTAAATTTGAATCTTTCGTTGATTCTTCTTTCATTCTCTAAACTAAATACTTTCACAGGGCTCCCTTTAAGTTCCAAAATTAGGAAGTCAGAGAAAGCAAAAAACCTAACAAGGGAAGTCATATTATATAGGTAAAAAGAAAAAGCGTTTCATTTTGGAAGAAACAAGCCAAAAATAAGGAATCCATGACTCCCAAACTTCTACTAATGGAAGCCCTGCTTTCACTGTTTCTTCATTCATTTGCGAAATTTGATACTCTCACTGATTCTTCATTCATTTCTCAAACTTAAACCCCCACTTATTCTTCATTTTTTTCGTTAATTTGATACCGTCACTTATTCTCATTCATTTCCTAAACTAAACTGAATATTCTCGCTGATTTTGTTATTTATTTCCTTAATTTTATACTCACATTCATTCTTCATTTAATTCTTCAACTTAATATTTTTACTGATTCTTCATTTATTTCCTAAATTTGATGCTTTTACTGATAATTCATTCATTTCCTAAACTTATCTAAAAGATTCTTCCTCATATTTGATCAATAAACTTTTTAACAATTGCAAAGCACTACTAGTATGTGGTTATTATAAATGCTATCCTGACATCTATTGTTGATTTTAAGATCAGTATGTTTATGTTGTTACAGATACTATTGATGATCTGATATCAGAGAAAATGGCGACCGCCAGTCCAGGTCAAGCTTCGCCGGCAAAGGCGCAGCAGAATCGTTGCCGTCTTTTTCGTCTGCAAATGCTGATTATTGACGGCGGACTACAAATACTAAGAAACATTTTTGATAAAAAACTGAAAAATGTTTCTCTAAGCGCATTTTTGCAAAAAGAGAGGTCAACAATAACCAAATTAAGATCACGCGGAATAATTACTCAGGTGCAATATGATCTACTGTTTCCATCAGGTGGCAGCGGTCCAGCTACAACAGACCTAGACATCACGTTAATCATATGTCTCCTTAGAAACATCAAGTCATTCGGGCTGAACAAGAACTTTCAATGGAACTCAATTCCTGCACAAGGTGATACCTCAGTTGAGGCTGATATTTCCCGTCTGAAAATGTACAGGAACGAGGTAAATGAGAAATGAGATAATTAGTTAAGTTTTAATGGTTTGAGTTCTTGTGATATCTAGTTGTGAACAAAAATAATCTATATGACGTCAAGTTTAAATTATTACGTATAAAAAGTATTTTTGCTGAAATAGCTTTTCGAGTATAGAACTATAAATCCTAAGAAAGATAATAATTTTGTTTTTTATTCTGTATAACTTAATGATTCTACTAATTTAGTATTATCTTCAGTTTCATGATATCTAAAAGTAAGAAACGTCTTCATTTAATACATAAAATTAAACTACGAAACATATCCATGATATCAAAGACTGGCTTCATAATTTTAGATTTAGCCAATTGTCTTGCATGCAACTATCATATTTTATTTAATTTTTGTCTTCCCTTGCATCTTTTCATTTGATATAAATACATAATAACATTCTCTTACTTTTTTTATTAGCTCAGTCACATATCTTCAACAAGTGGAATAACGCTGCCTATCTTTACAACAAAGTGGACGGAGATCGAACAGGTAAGGATGGAATTTTATTTTACTAATTAATCTATTTTTTCCTTTCAATTCTGTTCATAGACGGTTATGTTTATGCAATATTCCTTGAGGCACATTATGCCTCAGAAATCCATTCTTTAGAAATGTCAAACGTATGTTTAACAACGTTTGAATAATGAATTAAGAGCAAGTTAAATGTTAACTTAAATATATACTATGCTCATCTTTGGGTAAAATACTTTTACTTCAGAAATTCTTTAAAATCTATTAAAGTCTTTCTGAATATGTCTAATTTGAATAAATGAATGTTTAAACTATGTTTGGAGAGCTGCATTTCCTGTAACTAGTCCAATTAATTTGGTCAATCCTAATAAAAAAACTGCCAGTTATGTTTAAATGACACTATGTAATCATACTGTGATTACCTGTAGCGTCAAGAGTTTTAAACATGACATATTGCCTCTGTGTATGTCAAAAGATGTTTATTCTACATTTCAAAAGAGACTGTATAATTAGTATCATTGTTTTCAAATATAAAATAATTTGAGCATAGCATATCTTTAAAGCACACAACTTAACTTACACATGTATGGGAAGTTTATGCTGGGTGGGGGAGGGGGGGGAGTAAGTACCGGTGTAAACAGTAAATACTCGTGTTTGATACGCAAAAATATTAATAAATGTATCATTTAATCTCTGCTCGAATTGCTTGTACACGGACATCCTTCATAGCATAACATTAACATAAAGGAACATAACAGGAATGAAACTACCACGCATAGCGGAGCTCAAAGCAAAGTAAGCAAAATTATAGAATAAAAAACATACCACAGAATATAATATCTAACGGTATGTGCATTAACAATGGTGAAAATAAACATGATAGCTGTTCAAGTATACGAGGGGAAGTAAGAAAATATCCGGACTTTTGACTCGTTCTCGAAAACCATTCAACATTTAAAAAAAATTCTTTCTACTCTTTTTCAAAATATACTCCACCTACGTCTACGCACTTTTACCATCTTCGTGGGAGCTTTTGTATTCCCGCTGTGAACCATGACGTAGACCTATGTTTTAGGTACTGAGTAACAGCATATACATGTATCAAAGCCGCCCTGGTCTTATATTTCTTCCCAGCAAGCAATTTTTTCAGTTCTGGAAACAAATAAAAGTCACAGGGGGCGAGGTCTGGGCTATAAGGAGTTGATAACCTCCACTGTAGCTGCGGCGGTTTGGGAGGGGGCGTTATCGAGAAGGAGGACTTCAGCTTCAGCTTTTCTCTGAGATTTTTCAGAAATACTTCAGAATAGTACTTGGCGGTGACAGGTTGACCCTTTGGCTTGAAATGAGTAAGTATCATTCCTCTCGAATCCAAAAAAGGCAACAAGCATGGCTTTGCCAGCCGAAGGAGACAGCTTAAAGTTTTTAGGAGGTGGGGAACCAGCTCTTTTCCACTGCTTTGACTGAGCTTTTGTCTCAGGTTCGGAATAATGAACCCACATCTCATCTCCAGTGATAATGCGGTTCAAAAACATATCTCCTTCACGATTAAAACGACTTAAATGTTTTTTTGCATTGGTTACTCTGATTGCCTTTTGATCTGCGGACGCCTGTCTAGGCATCCACTTGGCACTTACCTTGCTCATGCCTGAAACTGAGAAACCCAGTTGTAGAAGGTTGAACACGATACACATTTTTCAGAAAATCTTTTTTTAAGCCTCTGAAAGATGTGGCAGGGCTTTTCACCTTCTGCAACCAGAAACTTTATTACAAAACGTTGTTCCTCTAATAATAAGTCCATAATAGACGAAAGACCTATCATATATCAGAGGGCAAAATACTGTGTATACACAACTATCATTGAAAATAAACTGACCACGTTATAGGCCAATGAATGTAGTTTTCACAAATATATAATGTGTATATATAGCTGCACGTGGAAAGAGGGGAGCATGAAAAGTCCGGATATTTTCTGACCGTCCCTCGTACAATACGTTCATAAACCAGTGTCTATTCTAGGAGGGCGGATGGGGGATTCACTCATATTTTTGAGAATTCCCCTATTTTTTCAGAGGCAGTGGGAAATTTTTACATAGAGAAAAAAGGGAAAAAATCAACAAATGCAATGAAGTTTTCGATAAAAATCCCCACTATTTCTCGAATCCTACAATAGACACTGTAAACAGTGTATTGTTTGTTTGGGTTTAAAGAAATATGTTTTTAATGTGAGTTTTCGCATTGAATCGTGACGCATTTCATGATTTTCCAGGTTCTTTTGAGGTTGAACTCGGCGGTGTCTCCCATACCACATCTACAAAAGATGATTGATGACTTTAAAGTGAATCCACTCGATCCACAGGCGGAGATAAGGGTACAGAAGGCCATAGACAGCTGGCAAATGTTAGAAAAGGGGGTAGAAGCTGATTTAAAACTGTTGAAAATTGAGGACGAGAAGATAAAATATACTCTGAATGTACAAGGTCAAACTGTGAGAAAGCATGCACAGAGTATTGGTGAATTAAACAAGAAAACGTCTGAACATGATAAACAAATACATGACCATTCTAAACAAATACAGGAATTAAAGGAAGAAACTAGAAAAGGTACGTCGCACCAGACTTTTTTGACACTCACGTTATTTAAATACAATGTATAGTTATTATTCAGTCATACTAAATTTTTATCTTAATCACTATAATGTTCAACAATGTTCTCATTATTTATCATTATAGTGCAATCATGCGACTTAATATTAATTTTTATCTTTATTAATCTTTCGATTTTGCTTATTTTTATAAACGAAATTTTGTTTTTGTAAATATAATGATTAATTAAATCTCACATCTTCGCTATTTTCAATTTACTTTTATTTTGTTTTAAAATAACCAAACCTGTCATGTGAAATATAAATGAATTTAAATGCAGATAATGTAAAAAAAAATTCTAAGTTTAACAACTTATTTAACTTATATTCACTCTATTACATTGTCATAATGCAGATGTCACAGCAGAGACAGAATCAATGCGACAGTCTCAATATGAAGAGTCGAAAAAAAGTAAGTAAATGCTATTTATAAGAACATAATTAAAAGATGTGTGGTATGATCAACAATCAGTAAAATTTAACACAATGTTTATTTAGAACATTTGTTCTTGCTGTGGTTAAGTATATGATTTATTAATGTATTGAGACCTTTCTGTTGAAAATGTGTCAGGGGTAAATCGTACACATATACATGCACAGTGCGTTAACTGGAGTACGGGTATAAGTTACCCGCACTCCAGAGCATGCCCATTGATTGGCTCATTTTTGCTGGGGTTTACATATTGTGACGGCAGAGAAAGGGAAAGGAGCAGAAATATCATATTCAAATGCTCGTTCATTGGTTAATTTTTTCTGGGGTTTCATTTTATGACAACAGGGAACGTGCTATCATATTTGACTATGATACAAAAGAGAAAGAACACCAAAACACTCGACAATCTGATTTATACTCGGGGGCTACGCCCCCTCGTACAAATCAGATAGCCTCGTGCTTCGGTGCTCTTTCTATTACGTAGAAAGAATATATTCAAACTAAATATAGAAGAACATATATTTGAAATGGTTCTTGTAATACCTGCATATTTTGTCTGTATTGCAATTCATGAGTTTGTGTTTATATTTTGTTCACTTGATTTTTAAACCCCATCCTTCTTATTTAAAATTATAAGGTTACATTAAAATGCATGAAACATATATGTTTATACTTATGAGCCATGTAAGCCCTCTTTGTCTTTATTTATAGTTATAAGATCGTCATGCATAATGCATTCTAAAAAAAGTATTTTACATCCTATTTGCAAAAAACACTTGACACTTACACAAATATCATTTCACAGACGTTTCATATTTTCAATATGTGTAAATTACGGCTCAACAGAGCACGCACAATAGGTTTGTTTTCTAGGTTCCAATTTTCTGTGCAAACTGGTAAATTGGTGTATTCAAATAATAAGAAATATCTCAAAATGCATCAGAATATTTCACATTAATTTTATATTGATATGCCAATTTTTAGTTTAGAAATAATTTTCGTCACTTCCGGTTTGAGGTAACCTAATTGGCGTCCGCGCCGAAGCGCGGCGCCCTTATGGAATGATATCAGATTTTGTGAAAGGGCGACAGCAACTTCTCGAGCCTTTTAGTTGGTCATAATAAAAGCCGTTCATTCCGATCGGTATGAGGGTGCTTGATTATTAATTAAGAATGAAATGTTGCGATATGTTACAATGAATAGCGAACTGGAGAATTTCGCAATGCAAACATTTTCAAATGAAATAACCTTTTCCGTCAATAAATCGCGCTCTTAGGGTTTTTTTATTTATCTTTTTGTAGTACACAGTGGGTTATCATGGTATGTTATTGTTGTACATGTATCCTAGAATGATCAGTTGATGACCTAAATATTCCGAAAATCTATTTATAGATATATCTATTTATCACTCCTATCGGTAATTTATGGTTTCTCCCGGCTATTTTGACGGGATTTACTAGTGACCTTCGAATAGTACCACACGTTTATTGTCCGGTCTCTCCCGGTTTTGAAGTAGATGTTTGATATATTTACAATTAAAAAAACAACAAAAAACAACAACAACAATAGCATGTTTCATTTTATCTATATGAGATAAAAACAATAAATACATGTATGTACAATAATTGAGAAAAAGGTACATTTTTATGGTATTAATATGACATTATCAACTTTGAAATATTTTATTTAATTTGTTATTCGTGTATAGTAAAGATGCCGAGGAATTATTCAAAGTTACAAATTAGATTTTATGAATTATTCAATTGATTGATAATTTAAAAAATGATAAAGCAAAATACAAAGGTACATGTACATGGTTTAAGAATAAACAATATTATATATTGAAAGATAAACCATAATTTACTGACTTTTTCCAGTTAAGTTTTAACTTATAATCGTCGGTCAATATGACAATTGAATTCTTAAAATTTATTTTACAATTTTAATAAAAAAAAAGAGTAGTAAACATAAAAACTCAGTATTAAAATAGCACATAAACCACAAAAAAAGAAAATAAACAATATTCATAAAATTTGTATTTGTTTTTTATTAAAATTAATAGATATTACAATTATTGTATAATAAACAATTATGCTCAACATGATCAACATGGTAATATAACCAGTGTCATATTTTTACTAAGTGTGAACAGATACCTTAAGAGGGGGTCTTCGCTAATAGCGATAACATAATAAGGGACAATTAAAATTAAAGGTGTGGTACGTGTTGATCATGCGTTACACATATTGATTATAAATGATTGTATACGTACATGTATATCCGTTGCTATTAATAACCACGATCATAAAGAAATAACAAGTAATATTCTAATCTCTAGCATGCCAATCAAAGTTCATAATGAACAATGTCTTTCGTCCGCTCATTCATAAGTGATATATATTTCTGGTAGTTTATAAGAATATCTTGTCATCATATGTCTACTAGTTGATCTTCACTTGCTGCATTTCTTGCTTGGACGCCCTTTGATGCTTTGCATCAATGCTTTTCTTGTAACATATATGTGATACCAGACTTTAAGTGTTATATACTAAAGCATTTATCGACATTTTTTTAAACTTTTGGAAAATGACCTGATTAAAGTATGTTCTACATGATCAAATATTCAAATTAGGACTCAGAAATGAAGTCAGATAAATTTTAAGGAAAACCGAATCCAAGGAAGGGCGTAAATTGTGTTCTTAGAACATTTTAATTAGGTTTTAATGGAACAACTTGATCCGCATACCTTTAGTCATTATGTTTTATGTATATGACGCAGATAATGAAACATTGAATCTAACAATGATGCCAGCGATAAAAATTGTTTTTGTTACAAATAAATTGAAATCGTTTGGAAAAGCAATGTATTTGCTATGAAGCTTGACAAGATTAGGGGTCTCAAATAAACTATTTTGTCAGCCTTTGTCTACTATGTTTGAAAGGCTTGATAACTGAAACAAGGACATTAATTAAAATAAATAAATATACTCTAATTATGTTTATCGTGAACTTTAAATTCATCGCAATTTAGCATGGCATTCAGAAAAAAGTGTAAATTGATGATCTACTTGAAAGCTGAGTTGGCAGAATTAACTTGAGGGGAATTCCTAAATACAGTGTTAACAAATGCTCTGCCGGAATGCATAGCAATCAAATGGAGCATTCCTATATATAGTGTAAAAATGCTGTACTGATATGCTCAGCTGGCGTAGCAATCTAGCTGGCATTCCTGTATAAAGTGTGATGGTTTTTTAGCTCACCTGTCACAAAGTGATCACTTTTCGTCCGTCCGTCGTCCGTCCGCCCGTCCGCTATTCTTGTCCGGGACATAACTTTGAAACCACAATAGGTACCAACATGAAACTTCGTAGGTAGATAGATCTCATTCAGTAGGTGTGCAGTGCACAAGAACCGTAACTCTGCCTCGCCTATTTTTTGAATTATTGCCCTTTGTTTATTTTTACACTTTGAACTTTGTCCGGGACATAACTCTATATGAGTATCAACATGAAACTTTGTAGGTAGATAGATCTTATTGTGTAGAAAGTCAGTGATAAAGAACCATAACTCTGTATTGCCTTATTTTGGAGTTATTGCCATTTGTTCATTTTATCACATTGAACTTTGTCCGTGACATAACTCTAAAACTATAAGAGATATCAACATGAAACTTTGTAGATATATATATCTCATTGTGTTGAAGTGCAGTTCTAAAAACCCATAACTCTGCCTTGCCTTATTTTGGAGTTATTGCCCTTTGTTCATTTTTACACTTGAACATTGTCCGGGACATTACTCTAAAACTATAAGAGATATCAACACGAAACTTTATAGGTAGATAAATCTCATTAGGTAGATGTGCAGTGCTAAAACACTAAAATTCTGCCTTGCATTATTTTGAAAATGACCAATTCTATTATAGAATTGTCCCAACAAAGGGCTATAACTTAGTCAAAATTAATGTCTGATTTATGGGCCTTATGATCCTAAAGACATGTATCAAGTTCAAAGTGAACACTTTAGTATTTTCAAAGATTAATGTTGCACGTAAATCTTTAAACAGTAATTTTCTAAGTTTAAAAAATCATGGTGTAATCTGATTTAATTATCTAGTCTGCACGACTTAGTTATCTCGTTCCCACGACTTAAACCGCTTAGTTGCTCGTGGTCGTGACATAGTATCTCGTGGCTACGATATAGTATCTCGTTCCCACGACTTAACTATCTCGTGGCCACGAATAAGTAACTCGTGTCCACGACTTAGTACAGTACAAACTTGATTTTTTTTTCTGTAAAATAAAATAAATATAATTTAGCTTCACACAAATATGTGTGCTTTAAATCCTTTACACTGTAAGTGGGCAGTATGAATATACATGTATAGTGTTATTACAAAAAAAATATGGAAGTTTCTTTTAAAGACAGGCACAACTTTACTTGACCCGTAATAAGAAAAGCAGATTCCTATACATTATGTGTATGTGTTTTTATTTAAATAAAACATATTTAGTAAGAAATTTATAGATTTCAATAAATTTCTGTGATAAAAATATCTTACTGAGAGATGTGCATAGTATATCATTAAGCACAAATGTATGTGAATGTGGTGGTGTGTGCGGGATGTCTGATCTATTATCAGACACACATATGCCCAACATTTGAGCCGCGTCACGACAAAACCAACATAATGGGTTTGCGACCAGCATGGATCCAGACCAGCCTGTGCGTCCGCGCAGTCTGATCAGGATCCATGATGTTCGCTTTCCAACTCTTTTACAAGTAGAGAAACTGATAGCGAACAGCTTGGATCCTGATCAGACCGCGCGGACGCGCAGGCTGGTCTGGATCCATGCTGGTCGCAATCCCATTATGTTGGTTTTGTCGTGACGCGGCTCATTTGTAATTGACTATGCACATGTTACAAAAATAAACAACTTCCTTCTTTCCTTATTAAACATTGTATTTTTTAATGTGTTACATACCTATTCGCCACTATTAGTGACTCTGAGACATTTATTAAGTTAAAAGGCCAATAATTTTTGCTTTTTAATGTCCAAGTCATTAGATAAAGACCTTCGCAGTACCTAGGCCGGTGCTTAACAACTGGATGACAGCATAATATGTTTTGGTAAGGGAGTACACTAAGAAGACTATTGCATGAAACTGACACGTATATATTCCATCCCAGCTTTGGGGGTAGGTGCAGCCCTTAAGCCAGGGCCTGAATCCGCCACTGTACGTATAACTGCCCCATTGAATAACTGTTTACGAGCATATTTTTTCGATTAGACTGTATACATATATAAAATTATATTGCATAATCATTTACTACTTGTATTTATATTCTTTCAACTGCAATTTAAAATATTAAGCGCTTACTACGTATTTTATTTATATATACATGTACGCAGTATCTATACGGAAAATTCCGATGATAGGCGAATCGTGGAAAAATTCCGTTGATATCGATAATAGAGTTCTCGCCCCTTAACAGTTCACAAATCGCGACATAGTTTAAATTGTTTATCATAATGTAAGATGATCAAACATAATCCACAAAGCCTCGGACACCGAGCTTTATCAAGCATAAACACTGCATAATGGATATAAGCGAATCCATCAGGGAACAAAAAATAGTCAATTTTAAATGACTTCTACATAAAAGTAATAAAAAAAAAACTAAACCGTAAATTTATGGTTTATATAGAGCATGAAGAAAGGTAACTTATACATATAGAGGATATTTGTT